TTGATAAAAAAATATCCTATAATCTATAAAGCAGTATATGACAAAATTAAGGATGAGAGATTAAAAAGAAGAACTAAGATATTAGCATATAAGCAACCCTGTCATACACATAAGGTTAATTATAAAGACATTTATAGCCAACTGATGAATACAACAATATCTGATAGTCCTGAAGAAGACAAAATGATTAAAAAGTTGATAGGCAATGTTAATTACGGTTTGTTGGAGAAAGGCGGTTCAACTTCATCTAAAAGTTTTCCTTTTAAACATTTAGATGAAGCAACAGAATACCAAGCAGAATTAGGAGGCAGAATTAACAAAATAACCCAGATGGAAATAAATGGAGAAGGTTATGAAAGAGAGGGACAGAAATGCTATATCCTGAATTTAAAGGACAAAGCAGAATTAACTAATGGCTTTCGTTATATCAAAGAATTGATTTTGGAAATGCATAATTTTAGTATGTATGAAGCATATGAAAAATTGATAGAGAATAAGGTTAAAGTGTATAGTGTAAAGACCGATGCATTTGTAATTGATACTTGTAATGTTGAAAAGGCTAGGGATATATTAGATTTTAATAATGATGTTGGAGGATGGAGAGTAAGCCATAGCAATGAAGAAATAATACTACCATCAGTTGAATATAAAATAACTGAGAATGACAAAATTAATATACCTGTTTTTAAATGTAAAGAGTTATATGTTAAAGATAAATATGACACTGATAATATTATTGATGAGCATATTTTACATAACAACCCTATACTCATAAGAGGCGAAGTGCCTGGTACTGGAAAGAGTTTTATATGCCAAAGGATGATAGACAGAGATTTGAAGGCCATATTCGTTTGCCCTACTAATAAGTTATTACAGTCTTTTGAGGGAGAAGCCATTACTATCAATAAGTTTTTTGGTATATCATTTGGCACTGTTAAACTGGATGAATTTGATTTTTCAGAGTTTGATGTTATTGTATTTGATGAGGTCTATTTTTCTAACAGGAGTGTTTTTTGGAAAATGAAGCAATTTGTAGATAAGAATAGGGACAACATAATTATTGGAACTGGTGATGCCCTACAATTAAAACCTATTCAAGAACTTACTAACACACAGGATTATCATACTTATGCTAATGACATCATTGATGACATTTTTGAAAACAAGATAAACCTGAAGATATGCAAGAGGCTTAGTAATGAAGAAGATAGAATTAAAATATACAATATTAGAGATGACATTTTTGTTAATAAACTTTCATTTACAAAAATCATTGAGAAATACTTTTCATATACAACTGAAATCAGTAGTTCTAAATATAACATTGCATTCTTAAATAACACCTGCAAAAATGTATCCAATGAAATTAGGAAACTAGAAAATAGAGAATATGAATATGAAAAAGGTGAGAGGCTTATATGTAGAGAATATACTAAGGTTGATAATAAGGTGTTTGATGTAAATTTTGAATATGAAATAGTGGCAGTATGTGATATTTTTTGATGCTGAAGGATATTAAAAGCGGGAAAGTCCAAGGTTTAGACAAGGATAAGGTCAGGGCATCATTTATATTTGCTTCATGCTGTACTTGCCATTCAGCCCAAGGCAGTAGTATAGACGGAGATATTACAATATTTGATTACAACCACTTTCTGATAAGAAATTATAAGGAGTGGCTTTGGACAGCTATCACAAGAGTAAGGGATTTAAGTAAAGTGAAGTTTTTTAAATATAGTAATGATACAGAGGATGAATTCAACAAACAAAACATAATGAGTTATTTTAATAGGAAGGTTGAAAATTATAAAATACAAGATAGAAAGGCTAAGAGAGACATACCTAAAGAGAATTATATTAATACTCAATGGGTTATAGATAATATTACTAATCAGTGTAATTATTGCGGTTGTGGTTTTACATTAAGTGTTAATAAAGGAAGTATATCTACAAATTTAACTGCTCAACGGGTTAATAACCTTGAGCCTCACTCACTGGAAAATATAATACCGTTTTGCATAAGATGTAATAGTAGTTGTAAATAGGATTTATAAATAATATTTCTTAAAAACTTATCTAAAGAAATGTTAGTTTAAGATATATATAGATAGTATGGGAGAAAATATGTATCAAAATGGCAAGATTTACAAGATTGTAGATATTGGTTATAACAAGATGTATATAGGGAGCACTATTGAAAGATTAAGTCAAAGGATGGTTAGACATCGTTGTGATTTTCAAAGATGGCAATTAGGTAAGGGGATGTTCAAAGCAAGTTGTGTATTATTTCAAGAATTTGGAGTAGATAATTGCAAGATTGAACTATTAGAAAACTAGCCCTGTAATAGTAAAGAAGAACTTGAAGCAAGAGAAGGCAAACATCAGCAAAATAATGATTGCATCAACAAACACATAGCAGGTAGAACAAAACATCAGCGCTACATAGATGAAAATGAGTATATCCGTTTTCAGCAAAACATACACAGAGAACTTTACCCAGAAAAAATAAAAGAATGAAAAAAAAGGTATGAACAAATAAAACACATTCTAAATGAAAAACATCTATGTAGTTGTGGTAAATACTACACCATTCAACATAAGAAAAGACACGAGAAATCACAATATCATCAGAACTATTTAAAACAACTAGAGAAAGAACCAGAACCAGAAAACTAGCCCCATTAATCTATATAATACTTTATTATATAAATTAATGTTTTCCTTTTTTTTCTAGTAATGAAATTATTTTATAAGAAAAAGTATTTCAAGAAAAATGACATAATAATTATATAGTGAAATGGAGTTTCATAAACTACCAATTGAAGTATTGAATAATATTATTTCATATAGATTGGGGAAACCCGAATATATGAAATTCAAATACAACAATGCACTCAAACAAATACAAAACAATTCAAAATTGAATATACTGAAACTAGATGTTTTATGAACAATATGAATTATAAAATTAAGGGTCTTTACCTAAATCTAAACGTCATAAATACACAATACAACAACATAGTAGATTTCATCCTTAACATTATGTCTTCAAATGACACAGGTTATGGAAACTGGAGACTGACAATACGTTTAGAATTATGTTATTCCCAAGAAGTTAAGCATTGTGCTATTTGGCATCAAAATGATTGTAAAAATACAGTTCAATTTCATAGAAGAGAAAGAAAAGATATCACAGTTCCAAGGTTTCTTCCAGAAGTATTGAGTGATGCTACTGAACAATTCATAAGCACAATACAAAAAATGAAAAGGTGGGAAAGCGAGGATAGAGACATTAGAACATTCAAAACTGAATACATTTTTATAGACATAGATGTTGATGAAGTTGATTATGACTAACTTGAACTAAAATAATTTAGGAAATATAATTCAGGTTGATTATCCCCATTAATCCATATAATAAAATATGATATAAATTAATGTGTTCTTTTTTTTCTAGTAAAAAAGTATTTAAAGAAATATTACCTATATATAGTATATAATGTTTAGTGAGATTGAACAGGAAGAAATTATTCATGAATTCTTAACTTATATTGAACAACAGGAAACTAAAATAATTGAGTTTTTGAGTGATAATGATAATAAAACAGAAGAAGAAGATGACAGTTACGGATTTGTAACTGAAAAACGGTTCGAAAAGGAAATTACAGAACATCATAAAATGATAAACAATATTGAAACGAAAAATTACATCTCATTAAAACATGCAATGATAAAATATATGGAACAAACCAACAACCAACGAATAATTAGAAATGCTGGAAACTATTCATACAGTCAAATTACATCCAATTTGTGGTATTTAAGCTTTAGATAATTTGAATGGTTAATCGAAATAAAAAAGAATGGCAACAGATGGGTTTGTAGCAAAGAAAAATTAGATGCTGTTGATTTTAACATATTGTATAAATGTAAAATGTTTAAAAGAAGATTTGAATATTATGAAAACGAATGAACTTAACCTTGCCCATAATATTTCTACAAATTTTGTGATAAAAATTTATTGTAAAATAATTTATGATAGTTTTTGGAATAATATTTTTTGAAAATTTTGTAAACTTTTTATTTTGTAAAATTCTTCTTTTTTTTAAAAAAAAATATATGTTTTTTGTAAAAAAAATATTATTATTATTTTTTAAAATTTATTTTTTTATTTATGTTTGTATAATTTATTATTATTTTTTGTAAAATTTAATATTTTTTGAAAATGAATGAACTTAACCTTGCCCATATATATTTTTGAAAATTTTGAATATAAAATATTGGATAAACTGACTAGGAAATTACCTGCTTTGAAATGTTGATTTTTGAAAATGTGCTTTTTGAGGCGCTGTTTTAAAATGTTGCTAAAAGTGTAGGGAGTACCCTAGGATTTTTTATATAAAAAAAAGATGGGCAAGCCCCCCTCTAACTGTTTTCCCTCTATTCGCGCATTGGTAGCATCCAGCGGCTCGCTCGTTGTTCATGCTTGAACAAGGGAGGTATTTGATTGTTTTTTCCATCCGAAAGAGCAAGCTCGAGACTTGCATTGCGAACGGTCGAACCGTGAGATGCTGTAAACAGTTGTCGCGACGTGTAATGGACCTTGCCACACTCGCAAAGGTGGGTTTCCTTATAACTTCCTTGTACAACCAGTCGAATCAGGGGTCTCCTCCAAAACTTCTCGATTGCTTCCAGGTACCACTACCATAATTGGTATGCAGGGTTTCTTACCTTTAGGTTGTACATGATGGCTTTCCCTGCTTGCCAACCATGACCGTAGTGGTGACTGGAAGCACTGGTTTAAGGAAAACAAATATCAGCAGAATCGGAAAGCATGGCCACAGTACAATTGTTGTGGGCTCTTTGTAGAAGGTACTACATGCAGTTTCATGTTGCAGGTCTTCTCTTTGTGCAATTTGGCTGTATGTAGCTCAACCAAATGTGCATGGCTTTTTGAATTTTGAGGCGAATCCATTTAAATTCGCGCCTCTTTTGTCTTCCAGGATTGCGGTGAGCTGCCAGTAGAGTGACCTACTGCTGGTGGAGAAAAGTGAGGGGTTGGGAAGATTACTATGCACTAATGTCCACGCCAGTTCCCGCTTAAATGGGACACACACACGTATACACATCAATTCTTAATTAAACGGGACACACACACACACACACAAACACACCTTTTAATTCTTAGTTAATTTGGACACACAGAAACACACCTTTTAATTCTTAGTAAATTCGGACACACACACACACACATACCCCTGCATAAATTAGTCAACCAGGGGCTTACTAATCCTGGGTTCCCTAGTCTGGGTTGGATGTGTTCTGAAAACCCTCTTGAGTATTGCCTTAAGGCTGAGCTCCTATTAGGTCTGGTTTACTGTCCATGCATGGAACCCACCAGAGAGGCAACATGGATATGCTCACTCGCCGAACTGGGTGGTGGGCATGACCGAACTATCGCAACTTAATTCAATTTGCTTAAGAATCGGATTTTCCTTGTTCGTTTTAGCCGGAATCTACAGAACATATATCTGCATTTTTTCACAGGAGACAACACAAATGGAGTCTTACCAACTCGCCCATGGGGCCGAACTCACTGTCCGATGTCTGGAACCGGGTTTATGAGACCACCGAAAATCAAGCCCAGAACCTGCACGGGAACCGGTCCCCTCGGGAAAATGGACTTCCAGGAACCCCTCTGCAGGTTCCATGTTTGTTTTTGAGAGGGTCACTCTTGTTGTTGTCTTATTTGCGCCCTTTCAACCAGCAAGAAGTGAACTTGTTGGAGAAGTCTGGCCCAAAACTTTGGTTGCGACCTCGCACATCCTGAAGGTTTCTTGCGTGGTTGTTGTTTCTTGCTAACATCCCCACTTACGACCAATTGCATTTCCGTAATGTCTTCGGCTCGGAAGTGCAAGCAGATATTAACTGCTTTCTCTCTCTCTCTCTCTTTCTCTATCTCCACTGATGTTTGAGGAATCCAAGTATCCCCAGAGGCTTCCTTGTTCGGTATCCTTTCAGACAGTTTGGTTCGTGGATGGATGCGTCGTTTTTGCTTTTGGGTGAGGTTTGTATCATTTACCGGTCACCTAGGTCCAAAGCCGTGCTGTGTTGCAATGCTGTTTCGCTGGCATGTGTTTGGTTGATTGTGAGATGTTTGGAAGCTTAGCCAGGGCCGCAGAGACTGCAATCTGCAAGATCCTCACTCGCTGAGTTTATGGATTTCATACTTTTTCGGAACACCATTTCCGTGGAAAACAAACAGCTCATTCATTTCGACTGTTCATGGGCAATCCACTGAAGTGAGGAGCTTGTTGCCGGTACCTCACAGGAGAACACACCAATGAGCTTCACTTGCGCTTTGCGACGCGTTTTCGTTGCTGCAGAGACATCAAGCCGACGCCCAAAACAAATGTGCTGCAAGCCTGGCAATGGCCTAGTACCACTCTGGCAAATATTGCACCAAGTTGTCCAAAAACGACTCTTTCACTTTGGATTGTTCCTTGCTGGTTCATTTTTCGTCAAGGTCCCGAAAGGTTGTATTTCAGCTACTAGGGGCTATTAGTAATTAGGGGCCAATTAGATTGGATCGATGTTTAACTGCGCCGTGCAAGGCGCGGCCTCCAATGTCCAACACCTGGTTTTGACGAAGAAGACACTAGTTGTGGATCATGTGTTTCCTTTCTTGCTGGATCCAATGGATCGCACCAGTTCATGTAGCATGCCGTTTGCGGGGGTGGCAAAACAGGTGAGATATTGAACACCCAACTTCCTGGGATCCCTTTTTGAATAGTTGGTTCGCACTTTCAGGTTCACATAGGGGCCATATTCGCACCAGATCTTTTTTTGGGGTCACTTGATCATGGCCATGGACCCCTTTAGGGAACCCCAACGCCTGAAGTTTGGTCCCACCCGACACTCTGAGCCGATGGCTGCCAAGCTGCCAAAGCTTCAGCTGCCCAAGGACCGGTTTCCTTACATGGCAAGCCTCGGTTTCATGTGACCGGGAAAAGGGCCCCGCCGGAAGTAAACGATTGTGTTGTTTTTACTTTGTGGAATCAAGTTTGTTGATTGTTTTCCATTGCAAAGGTGATCAACTCAACCTTCTTTGGTGGGGGGAAGCAAAGCTCTGGCAAACTTGAAGTGTTTTGGTAGCACACGCTTGCACATTGTGGAAAGTTGGTGGCTTAGGTTGCCACTTTCTGTGAGTGGCCCAGGAAATCCCCTTGAAAGTGATGTAGAGTTATGGGAATCAACCACAACTCTATACTCTTCACATGGACTTGCATGCTGCTTTGGCGAGCAACCTTGACGCAACCGGTTCGAAGAACTGGACATCGCTTGCACCAGAAGAACGTTCGCATGTGTGTAGTGGTCGAAAAAACGCATGTGTTCACGTGTCACCCAAGGCAGATAGCCTCATCCTTTTGCGCAAGCTCGAAATGATCTTACCTGAAATTGCACGGCCTCGTGGTGAAGCTTTGGAAAGGGTTTCCCTCAATTTCTGGTTTGGAAGTTCCTTTCGCAACTGCGCAGAGATGTTGGTGCAGCTTTGGCGGTGGGTTCTTCCAAGGGTTCTTCCAAGGCAATGGCAATTTTTTACACCGCAAACGCCTCGGCGAATTGGAGGTTTCAACGCCAGAGGCGTGTCTCAAAATGGGAGAGGGAGGGCGGACTGTTTCTTGGGGGGAATGTCTCACCAAGGGGCGTCCAATGTTTTGGGGAGATCTGGGCTGAGGCCTTTTACCCAGGATTTGGCTGTCACAGCGTTGCCAAAAAAAGCACATGCGCCAGGCAATCCCCTTACCGGAATCACTTAGCAAAGGGGGGGTTGAAGGGGGGTATCCATAAAAACAATAAACGTGTGTTTGAATGGGTTCGCCCCCCTTTGTAGATGGTTGGCACAGATAGGAGTGGTGTTTGAGACAAGGATCTCTGCGATGGGGCATGAGCTCCCATCGCCCGAGACCTCCGGCGGCGCCGGTGTTTGCCCTTTCGTTGGTGGGTTTGTGCTGCAAACACACCCAATGGCTGTCAAATGGTTCCAGAATAGCCCAAGCAGGGTCACTTAACACAAACCATTTGACAGGCGTTGGGGGGGGGGGGGTCCTGGCAAAAAGATGCCTTTCTGTGCACATGGCTACTGATTGTGCCAAAGATTAAGGCCACATCTCTTGTCTCTTGTGCGCTGGCTGAAAGGAGGTCTTAGATGGGTGGGCGGGACAAAAGAGAATCCTCCAAATGGGTGCGTTTCCACGTGGGAACCCCAAGAATGGATGGTTCCTGTTGGTTTCCATCTACGGCAATCCCAAACTGTCTTTGATGTATATCATTGTTTCGGTGTGGACAGTGTCTTCGCAAGACATGTGAGCGGAAGTGCGGTTGATTCAAATATGGGCGTGTGTTATTGTAGAGGCCCCCCCCCCAAAAAAAAAAAGGTTTTCTTTAGTTTCCCCGTAAAAGGAAACCAAAAGAGGGTTCCCAAAAACATGACACGCCCATATACACCACGTTCCAGGAAATGGTCTTATCTGGTGTCCTGGAAGCGGATTGGCAAACCAACCAAGGGAGGGGGGTCAACCGAGAGCCTTGAGGACCTGATCTCTGAATGTAATTCGGTCCGGGACACATCAAATCTAGGTGGGGATGTATGCCCACCAAGCACTTTTGAGGGGTTCCGAGTTAAAATACGTATCCTCATCCTTTCGTCAGGATGAGGCGGCGCAAAGACAACTCTCCGAGGCAGCAGCGGGGAAAGACGGATCGAGGGCGTGTCGAATTTGGGACCTGGCACTCCCCAGATCATCATGGGAACCCCAGAAAAGGGCTGCTTCCCACAATGGGACTAATGGGACTTCTGAAAATTGCGGGGAGTGGCGGCGGATTTCGGGTTCTCCAGAGTAAAACGAGCGAACGTCCATGGATTACTTGATTGACTCAGAGTTTCATTATCCCGAGTTGAGCACTTGGATCAGCTATTGCTTATCCCTTGGCCGTAAAATTGGCAGTTTGGCACCAGCTGCTGGCCATGTGCAATGTTGAAGGCTTAACAGTTTTGCCCCCCCCCCCCCCCGAAGCTACCCAAGACCTTAAATGAGACAGCCATAGACGCAAAGAAACGTAGCAAGAACCATCCATTGCTAGAGGGATCTCCTTCCCCTCTTTTGGGCAACACGATGTCAACACTTCAGGTTGTACATTACGGTGCCACTTAAAGTGACACCTTCCAAAATTACCCTAAGCCCTAAGGCCACAAAAGGTGTGTCTTCGAGAAGCTCTCAACACATAACCACTTTAAGTTTTTAGGGACCCGGTGATACGCAGCGTGTGTGTGTGTCAAACTTGGGGACCCCCGAAAATGGGTGGTTTCTGCTGAATTCCCCAAATCAGACCGTTTCGCCGCCGCAGGGAAGCCTTCAGTACCTTAGGATTGACATCGTTTCCCCTGGGCACTCCCCTGAACAACCATGCAACCCAAAAAAGGGCTCCTCCAGGCCAAGATGTCTCCAGATTCGACGTTGTTTGGGGTTCCCTCTTAATCTGCAGTGTACCTATCGTTTCTTTCCATTTAGCGCCCGGATGCCTCAACGAACTCGCCAGGCTTCGGAGGTCGCGCGGTCCGGGGAGCTCAAGTCGGCGCAGCAGATGCTGAAGGAGGCCGAACGTCCGAAGTCGCGCGTCCCGAGCTTTGGCCCAATCGCAGCAAGATTTGCTGTCCACTGGGGTCTCCAGAACGATTCCATGGACCGCCATGAATAAGCCCCTGTTTATATGGGGGTGTTCCCCTCCAAAAGTGAGAAATCACCACTAAGCCCAGGAACATCCCCCCCATTAATAAACAGGGGTTTATTAAGCCGGGGTCAACATTACTTTAAGGTAGGCAAAAAATAGAACACGGCTAGAACAGCTCGTTGTCTGTGTACTCCAGATATGGGCCACGTAAAGAAGATGGCGTTGGGTGCTCTCACCCAAATACTTGTACCTCGCCAAAGTCCCATGTTATTGGGAGACACAATGAATACTACCTGTGGCTACAATGGTTTTCA